TTGTCATACATTGAAATGAATTAGCCATGGATTTACATGTATTCCCCATCCCGGTCCCCCCTCCACCTCCCTCTCCACCCAATCCCTCTGGGTCTTCCCAGTGCACCAGGCCCGAGCACTTGTCTCATGGACCCAACCTGGGCTGGTGATCTGTTTCACCCTAGATAATATAAACTGGAGCCCATTATACAGAGCGAAGTAAGCCAGAAACATATTTGTGTTTTAAAGTTTTATTTTTTCAAGATAAATAATTAGAAGTAGAATCACTAACACATGAACGGTATTTTTAAAGCTTCAGTTGCGCATTTTCAAACATGAACGGCCTCTCCACTTACCCGCTCCTGAGAGCCCGAGTTGTGTGAGGGTGTCTGGGCTCCCGCCCCATCCCCACACCATCCTTTTCAGCGGAACTCAGTGTTCTTCAGTTCCTGCCATTCTGATTCATTTATTTTTAAATCTCATTTTATTCGGAACCAGGTTTAAATGAAACTTTTTGAAGGATCTGACGGGGAAAGCAAAATCCTGGAGCGTGGGCTGCCTTGAGGGACGTGGGGGGGGGGCTGCAGGGGGGCGGGAGGGATGGGGCTGAGTGGTCCCAGTGCAGGAACCCGCTCCCCTCACCTTCGCTGACTTGAGCTGGTCTGTTCCTACCCATTCTGTCCACACCTCCCTGGCCAACTCCCAGCCCTGTGGCCAGGACCTGGGGCTGGGGCATTAGCTGCCCTGCTCCTCTGAGGTCAGCGCTGCTGGAACTCAGACCCTGACCATCTGTGGCCTCTGAATGGGAGGGATGGGGCTGAGTGGTCCCAGTGCAGGAACCCCCTCCCCTCACCTTCGCTGACTTGAGCTGGTCTGTTCCTACCCATTCTGTCCACACCTCCCTGGCCAACTCCCAGCCCTGTGGCCAGGGCCTGGGGCTGGGGCATTAGCTGCCCTGCTCCTCTGAGGTCAGCGCTGCTGGAACTCAGACCCTGACCATCTGTGGCCTCTGAATGTGAAGTCTGTGGGGAAGCTGTCTGCAAAAGGGCCTCCAGAGCTGGGGCGCTGCCTGCCTCCCCTCTGAGGTCAGGGGCTAACCAAAGGAGAAAGGGCCCTCCCCCGGGGACTGTCATGCCCATCCCTGAGGTCGGGCAGAGCCCTGGCCAGTCCCGACACGACCAGGGGCTGCGTGCACCCCGAACATATAAGCGGGGGTTTTGTCCAAATCACGTGACAACGGCCCAGGTTTTCTTCTTCCCTCTTTGTTGCTTTTAATACATAAAATGAGCATGTGTTTATTTAAAACAGCTTTCAGACTTAAACAAATAATGACAGACTGTTCAAACAGACTTCGGAAATCACCCTGATCAGGATGTTTGAAAAAGCAAGAAGACTCCCCCATGAAAATAGCTTTTGGAGCTTCACTCCTGAAACCACAGGGTCTCCTCTGCACTTTAGAATCACAGATGGGTAGATTATAGGGGCTAGATTCCATCTCAGGGGCGGGGGGGGGGGGGGCTGTTAAATGATGCCCCTCAGCCCTACAGCCTGACTTAATAATCTATGAGGAAGTAGAGCTGGGTGTGTGTTATCGCTTCCAATTTTCCACCAGAACACATCATGTGTGTATGTTCGAATTCACATTTCTTTAGAAATCACCTAGCATCTTGAGAACCAAGAGCTGACACCTTAGAGGGAGCGGGTCGATTGTTTCTGGAAATCAGCAGGCTCAGCAGACCGCCTGGAGGGCAGGGCAGTGTGAGGGGGACCACAGGTTAGAGAGAGGACAGACCAGAGAACACGGGGCTGTTTCCTCTAGCTCATGCTCAGGGCCGCTTTTACAAATGGCCCGAGTCACCTACGTTTATCTTCACAACAACCAGTTTTATGGGTGAGAGAAATGAAGCTCAGCCTTGGGTAATTTGTTCAAGGTCACAGGCAATAAAATGTCAAAGCTGGGATTCCACGCAGACCTCCTCCCTTGAGCTCGGGGCTCCTTCCCAGATCCTCTGTGCTCACGCTTTGGGTTAAGAGATGCTATGTTAGCCCATCCCACTTCAGAAATGATTTCTTTCTTTGTAATGCACGTCAGAAATGGGCCATGAAGCACAATTATTTATACAAGGGGCCGGGGCTGGGCACAGGGAGGGCTTCCAGCCCAGAGCTGGGGTGCTGGGAAAGGTGTCTCGTCTGCCCGGGGGGTTGAGCACCAGGCAGAGCGGCCCGAGACTCCCTGCTTCCCCCATCTCCCGAGGGGGGCTCCTGGTCTGGAAGGGTCAGGTGGCCAAGGCCTCAGTCTCTTCCATATCCCGCCACAGACAACTCCACGATAACTGAAGGGACGCAGGGCCCAGCCCCGACCTTCTTGACATTGAGCTGCAGTGCCTACTGCCCAGCGCGCTCTTCTGAGGAATTGGGGGTGCCTTCGGCTGGTGCGTTGGGGGTTCCAGCCTTCCCGTCGTTAGAGAGAACAGCACGGAGGGGAGGGCTGTTAGACGTCTGCTGCTGTGTCTGTGGGGCCCGGGGGTGCACTCTGCGAGAGGCAAGTTTCTCTATATTGGTCCTGACTCCTTCCTGCCCCGTTTACCCCCCTGACAAACAGTCCTGACTGTCAGCTCATCTCTGGGCCAAGCTCACTAAGCACATGTTTCATTTTTGTCTATTGCCTTGCTTTGCTAAGACTCAAACTTAGGAAGCTGTTTAACAATAGATTAAGAAAGAAGAAAGCCCTTGCGCCCTCTCCTGGTAAAAGTTAATCCAGTGCCTCTGAAGGTAGAGTTCACCCACTTCAGGAAGCAGTCACTTGTCCAAGCTAAGTGACTGCCCTTGCACTAATCTGACACACCAGATGGGCCATCGGGCCTTGAGGGCTGTGGTCGTGAGTTTCTCCGGAACCCTCTTCACAAGGCCTCTCAGTCTCGGGGGGTAACTCTGGTGCCAGGGCTGTCCCGCGCCTCGTGGGCACCCTGGTCTGTGCCATCAGATGCGAGCAGCGCCCACTGCTCTAAGCCCTCGTCTGCCTTTGTGGGTTTTGTTTTTGTTTGCATGTTTTTCTGGCAGCACAGCTTGAGGTATCTCAAGCTCCACAACCAGGGACTGAACCCACACTCTCGGCAGTGAAAGTGCGGAGTCTTCACCACTGGACTGCCAGGGAATTCCCTCTTGTCTGCTTTTTGTAAAAGGTGCCAAGGTCACCGGAGCAGTGAGAGAGTAAAGATGGCTCAGCACAAACCCTTCACGACTGTGGGAACTCAGCTGAGTCCAACTCCGGGAATTTGTCTAAAAACAAAAACCAAAACCAAAACCCAAATCCAAATGAGTAGGTAAGAATTTACAGACAGCTGCTCTATAGCACAGGGAGCCCAGCCTGGCACTCCGTGATGACCTCGAGGGGTGGGATGGGGGAGGAGAGCGGGGCTCAAGAGGGAGGGAATATTTGAGTGGTTGTATGTTGTTTCGCAGAAATCAATACTACGTTATAAAGCAATTATCCTCCAATTAAAAGTGATTTAATTAAAAAATAAAAGGAATTGGTTAAATAAAGTACAGCATAGATACAAATATATAAATATATGTGGTGGAAAATTATGCAGTCATGAAAAATAATTGTGCACATTTATATTTAATAACACAGGAAGTTCCCCTAATGATGCCTTAAATGTTCACCTTTGAGATTACTGCCAAGATTTTCAGAGGTGGTTGTATGTAAGAGGAATAATTTCAAACAGGCAGAGTATCTGGGTAATGTATTAGGCCAAATACAGAATTCAAACCAATGTTTGATGTTAGAAAACCTTAATCATTAATCGAACAAACATTTCTCAAACACCTACATGTACTAAGACCATGCACAGCAGTGGGGAGACACGAATGATACCTGGTCCCTCTACTGCGATACGTGCCCAGACAAAAACATGGCAAGCATCATCAGACCTTCCTCACACAGCGATGCTGCACATCTCTGTGTGCTGCCGTCTCCCTTAGTGAAACTGTGTGCTCTAATTCCAGGTTTGGGGGGCTAATTGGAACTACATCTTGTTTTCGCCTTCATATCTGATTAATCCACCAAGGGAAAAACACTTCACTTACTGCTTTATATATTCAGATGTACACGCATGCATGCTCAGTCGCTTCAGTCAAGTCCAACTCTCTGTGGCCCAAAAGACTGCAGCCCACCAGGCTCCTCTGTTCATGGGATCTTCTAGGCAAGAATACTGGAGTGGGTTGCCATGCCACCCTCCAGGGGATCTTCCTGACCGGAGGATTGAACTCACATCTGCCTGCATCTCCAGCGCTGCAGGCAGATTCTTTACCCAATTGAGTCACCTGGGAAGCCCATATATTCAGGTAGAGTTGTCCAAATACTCATTGGGTCCAAACACAGAATCCAATCTTCCCCAACAAATCTAAGAAATGAGCATTCAATGGTCTCAGCTTTTTTCTTACAGCACAAGAACAAAGTAAAGGACTCTTTAAGATGGGTATAAAGAATAAAGAAAATAATGCATGTCAGGAATTCATTACAAGTGCCTGGCCCATAGCAAGCATTCAGTAAAAGAGTAGTTGGGGCTTTTTTAAAAATTATTTTTATGAATGTCCATGCTAGCTAAAATTGCAAAGCCTCCAGTATTTCTACTGCTTTTGCTGTTTTATTTTTCCCGTTAGCACTTACACCCTCTAATACACTCTACGATACATGTAAGTTTTGTTTACTGTCTGTCCCACTTCACTGGATCAAAAACGTTTGAGCTTTTGGTCTATTTCACTCATGGCTGTATCTCTGCTGTGCCTGGTATGTGCGTAAGGTCTCAGTAAGTATTTCCTGAATGAAAGTGAAAAGAGTGGGTCTGAAATCATCCCCAAAGCACGTTTGACCTTTGCCCTCACCCTTCTGAAGGTGCAAGGCACTTCGGATGGCTCTCCCCCTGTCGGCTGGCATTGTGCTGGCACACTCTTTGTCACAGTGACAGGAAACATCTAATAGTCTACACTGTTTTTCTCCCGCCCTCTCCCCTCTGCAGGACGCCTTTGTGGAGCTGTATGGCCCGAGCATGCGGCCCCCGTTTGATTTCTCCTGGCTGTCTCTGAAGGCACTGCTCAGTCTGGCCCTGGTGGGAGCTTGCATCACCCTGGGTGCCTATCTGGGCCATAAGTGAAGTCCACAGGCCTGCCACAAACAAATATGCAAAAGGTTCATGAAAGCAGTAGAAATAATATGCATTGTCACTGATGCACCACTGAAGTGAAGGTGTGGTCTCTTAAAAAGAAAAAAACAACCAACCAACCAACCAAGCAACCAACACCACCACAAACAGCTTTCAGGCTCAACGTTGAATCAGCTACTTACTGCCAAAGGGAATACAGTTTATTTTTTACATTATTAAGAAAAATAAGATTTATTTATTTAAGACAGTCCCGTTGAATCTCCTGTCTTTGGAAACCCCACCACTAATTGCTAAGCCCCACCCGGACGGCTCTACCTGGCTCTCTTGTGCCTGTAAACACTGATTTTTGTTCCATACTGCTGGCTGGACTGACTCAACCAGCTGAAAAGCAAACAAACTGACAAAGGACCTGACTGNTCCGCACCAGGCGCCCCGAGCGCCGGCTTTTCCGCTGGAGGCCGCGGCCGGCAGCCCCGCCTCGGCCGGCCTGAGGCCTCGTCCTGGCGAGCCATGTGAACGCGGGCGGCCGGGAGAGAAGACAGGAGGCCTGGGCCCCGGGTGGGCCCCGCGCCGCCGGAGCGCGGAGCTGGGCCGAGGCTCTGAGGGCGCGCGTCTCTGCGGAGGAAACTGAGGCGGTGGCGAGGGACGCGGCGGCCCCAGAGAAACGCGCGGCCTCCAGCCTGCCGCCCGCCTCTGTGGAGGACACAGGAGGTGGTAGGAGTCGGCTCTCTGGAGCGGAGGAAACCGAGGAGCGGGGAGGCGTGGGAGCCGCCCCCAGAGAAACGCGCGGCCTGTGTGCGCTGGGCCGCCAGGCTGTGTGCGCCGCTTCAAGTGAGATTTTTGAAAGACTTTGGGGAGGGTCATAAATCGTAAAGGAAGCGTTGAAATGGATTAACTGACCTATGTCTGTGGAATTACGATGTGAAGCATTATCTTGTCATTGTAGTTTGGTTTTATTTGAAAAACCTGACAGAAAGGGATGGGGGGGTGGGCAGGGAAGCTCCAGGTGTGGAATGTGGGGATTATCTATATATCCTGGGGCGTTAAACAAGGAAAAGAGAAAAGTCAGTGCTGGAAAACGCTAGAGGAGTAGCAAAAGAAGAAAGATCTCCAGCTCATAAACTACAAAATATCTTTTTTCAAGTTTAGACTCAGCCTTGAGACGTATGTGGAATAACTGTGGCATTATTGCATTATAGCATTTATCTGTATACCATTTATCTGTATTAACTTTGGAATGCACTTGTGTTCAATGTTTAATGCTGTGGTTAATATTTCGAAAGCTGCTTTTAAAAAAAAAGATCTTAGCATCTCAGCATCTTTTTAAAAAATTATATTTAGTTATGGGCTCTACACTAACTGTCAGCAAAATGACCACTTTTCCCATTTGAGATTTTTGGCTCTCAATTCTTTCAAAGCATTTCTGAGGAGGTGAGATAAGCCCTGGTTCTCAGCTACCTGAGAAATCCTGGAGCTTGCTGGCCACTCAGCCACTTTGTGTCAATCAATCTACATCCACTTCCATGTCAACAGAATTGTTTATTGTGAGGGACAGTATCTGTTGTCCCTTCAGCCCTTTTCCTTGAGATTCACCTGTCTTGGCCAACTCAGAATTTAACTTACATCATTTAAGAGTGCATACATGTTTGGTTAAACCCATGAGGTTCATTCACTTGGAAATCCAGATGGAAAATGACCAGGGGATTAAATTCTGGCCCTGATGGTTTGATCCTTAAAGATGGTTTCTGGGGCCTGTTTCCATGGAAACCTATTTAGAGCCCTCCAGCTCTCCTTCCATAGGGTCCTTCTCCGTGGCCATCCTCAAGTTCTTCCGGAAATGCAGTGGCACTTAGGCCCCACGCGGAGAAAGGGAAACCCATGGTATGAAGCCAGACCTCCCTGGCGGGCCTCAGGGAACAAGACGATCAGACCTTTGAATGATTTTAATTTTTAAGCAAAATGTTATCTTATGAAAGGTTTACACTGTCAAAAGTGATGAATATGTAATATCAAATTCTGTGCTGCTATCCTGCCAAGATCATTGCAATGGAGTCGGTTTGCAGTACACTCTCAAGTGGCGAGCTCCTCCAAGCTGCTTTAGAAGTAACCATGAAGAGCAAGGACATCTTTAATATAAAACTCGTTTGTCTTTGGTTATTGTTGTTGTTATTGTTCAAATTGAGATTTGCAGAGTATTCGAAAAATGTATATATGAAAAAGGTCATAGAGGCTAATTTCAGGCTGGTTTCCTTTTGCTATGGGATTCCATTATCTGGTTTTAATGATAAGTGTTCCTGGTTACCTGACCCCAGAACTGTACAGTATTGTGGCTGCACTCTCTCATAGAGATCAGACCTTTGAATGATTCTAATTTTTAAGCAAAATGTTATCGCTAAGGGTAGTTGAAGTTGCATTTTTCTTGTTGTTAAAAATGTTAGAAGCAATGAATGTATATAAAAGCCTGGGCTAGTCATTTTTTTTCCTCCTCCCTTTTTGCATTGTCTCAATTATCTTGCAGTTGGACAGCAGAGATGCAATTCCTACCTATTTGGTGTGGAGGAGGGATTCACACCAGAATTGCCCTCAGCGTGGTACACAGGCCACCCAGGTCAGGGTTCAACAGAACATGTGCACTCCCCAAATGGAGTTCAAGGGTTCTAAAAAAAAAAAAAATGCCACAAGGAGCAAACCACCCAAGAACCTCCTGGGTCCTCCTAAGCCCTCGCTGCACAGATAGCCTGAAAGAAGGAGCAAAATGACAACTTGCATCTTTTGCAGCAAACAGCTCATCTCAGATTTTACAGTGGCTGAAAAGTCTTATGGGCTTGAGATTTGGATTAAAATCACCTTCTGAAAGAAGAAAGCACTTTGCTATGGTTCAAGCCAAAACCCAACATCCTCTGCTCCAGCTCACTTATCTCTGCCTACTCAGATATGACCTTCCATTTAGATGGACTTCTGTTTCATTAGTGCATGTTTATACTTATCATTTAAAGACCTAGTTGTGGCCCAATGTGGGAAATTAGGAAGTGACTGTAAATCAAGAGGAGTTCTAATAAGTAGAACTTAAGTATATAGGGCAGCCCCAATACATGTCTGGCTTTTTCACATCAAGGATCTATGGGATGAACTGCAAATTGTCTGTATTGGAATTAAATTTATGCTAAAGTGACAAATTTATACATGTGAACTTAAATTCTAATTTCAATTATACTTTTAAGGCAGTGGCTGTTTTTATACTTCCTTATCACTTATAGTTAGTAATGTACACCTCTTCTATCAGAAAAAAAAAACAGGAAGGGCTTGAAATACAAGCCATTCTAAGGAAATTAGGGAGTCAGGTGAAATTCTATTCTGATCTTACCCTGTGGTGGCTTTTGCAGCCCAGACAACTGTGGCTACACACTTCTTAAGAAATACAATTGTACATTGTCAGGCTTACGAACATTCCAATCAGATCTTTATTGTTACTCAATTTGAATCTTCCCAGGGATTTTTTTTTAATTATTATGGGACAAAGGACATTTGTTGCAGGGGTGGGAGGAAGAATTTTCAAATGAGCAAAACATTCTCAAGATTGGATCAGAGTGTGGAGTCTTTAAGAATAGCCAGGACTGTAGGATACGAAACAGAACCAAGTGAGGACTTCATGAGGATCAGTGTGATGCCTCTGGGAAAGACTTTATGCAACAAATAAGAAACACTTTTAAGTTCTGTGGTATATTTAGCTTCTAGAGACAACAGAACAACTCAAGAGTCCAGCTCTGTATGACAGTGAAGATGAACCAAAGTTCTGAACATCTGCCATCAATGGTGTTAATTTCAAGCCTGGATATGTCTAATGGCTATTTAAACAATAAATTTGCAATTTTTAACCAATGGGATGGTTAATGAAAACCTTCTGGTTGGTAGGGACATGTGTTTCTAAATGCTTTATTACGCACAATACGGGGGGTGGGGAAGTGAGACTGAATTGGGTAAGTAATAATACAAGTCCCTTATCCTTACCCAAAGGATCATTCAGCTACATGTCTGTGCTCATAAGACTAGCCTTAGACAGCCATGAAATATACATCTCCGGGGGCAGAAAGAAAACCACATGGAGCATGAATGGTATTGCCCCAATTCATCGTAAGTGCCCCAGGAAAATAACTGAAAGCCAACACATATCCTGTTGACGACAAGGTTGTTTTGGGTCCCAAGGTAAGATCAGCAGACAAAACACTTGTGGAAGATGGAAAGGCTTAATCAAAAGATCCAAGCCTGTTACTAAATACGACTGTAGTGTATTAGTAACTCCATATTCCGGAACCTTTTAGGGAATCTGCACTGGGCCTTCCAGCCAGCTTACTTCATTGTTTTTGCCTCTGGGGTAGTGTTTGAAGGTGATAGCCTTCACATTTCTTTGGAGGAAGCATGTTTTTATTATACTATCTTAAGTTTTCAACCAAGTTTTGCTTTTGTTTTGAATTACTGAGATTATTTTCATTTTCAATAAAATAAATGTGTAAAAAATGGTTTTGTATTGGAAGCTTTTGTTATCAAGATGTTCACACTTCTCCCTTCCATGGGATGTTTGTAAGATGGATATTTCTTAGGGGTGGCTGACATCCTGCAACACTACACACACACAGAAATACATGCTAAGTGAGCTTTAGATAGTTAAGATAAAGTAAGTCTCTAGTTGGCCAGCATTAAATATCATGAAGTTTTCTTTGTGTTGTTGGGGAGAGCCACGCTGCCACTCAACTCTCCTTGTCTGTCCAGTTAATATTGTGAAGAAAAATAAAGTACCATGTAAGATATTGGCTGTGCCCTGGAATTGTTTGTAATGCGGTGATGTGATTTTGCTCCATCATTCAAAGCACTTCTTAACAAGCTAGCAGAGCCACTGGGAGCCTAAAGCCCTGGGGGCTCAAGCTATGGATTTGTCCTACTGGAGAAGTCACCTTAGAAGGGGGCTTCATTTCTCGGTTACTTACCCTCCTGCTGTGGCCCAAGGTGGACCAGCCTTGAGTTTTACTTCGGAGGAAGCCATTGTGCCTGCTGGCTGTGTTCCTTCACACCAAGTGAGGATCCCAGCCTCTGTGTTGCATAAGATTGTATGGAAGAGGGAGAAAGAATCTAAAAGTTATGGTTTGAAGTGACTGTTTTAGGACTGTGTTAGCAGTCACTAGCTTTGGAACATAAAGACCTTAAGTAGCCGGGCACCTGTTGTTGTTCAGTTGCTGGACTGCAGCACGCCAGGCTTCCCTGTCCTTCACTGTCTCCCTGAGTTTGCTCAGACTCATGTCCATTGAGCCAGTGATGCCATCCAACCATCTCATCCTCTGTCATCCTCTTCTGCTCTCAATCTTTCCCAGCATCAGGGTCTTTTCCAGTGAATCATCTCTTCACATCAGGTGGTCTAAGT